AAATATATATATATATATATATATATATATATATATACATAAAGTCAGAATCGTGAGAAAAAAAAGACACAATTAACTTTTTATTTTTATTCTGTGGAGAAAAAAAGACGCAAACTTCAATGAAAAAAAAAAGTCAAAATTGTGAGATGTAAACTCACAATTATGAGTTTTTAACTTGCAATTGTGAGGCATTAACTCACTATTGTGAGAAAAAAGTCAGAATTGTAAGATAAAAAGTCATAATTACATTTTTTTTATTCTATGGCAGAAACAAGCTTCCAAAATTGAATTATTGTTTATACAAAATACTTAAGCCACAAATAAGAATGCATTAATTGCACCATTATATATCAAAAATATCAACGTGGCATCTGCAAACAAATTCAAACATTTGAGATATTATTATAATTTTAGACTACAATTTACCACATCATTTGTTACTTAATCATTATTTTATCAGTACAAAGGTCACTTTTTGGGGACCCTGTAAGTTGGTGTAAGCTCTAAATGTCCTTATTGTCACCATTTCAAGCATTTTCTTATTTCAAAATTTACTTTCAAAACTTTAGGGCAAAAGCCATCATCTCTCATTAATAGAAATAAATAAAAATGTCAAGTATGGCATTGGTTGCATGCAGCATTTGTGTCTGTCAGACAGGGCAGGTCGGATTTCAGCTTCAATTGACCAGTGTTTGATTCCCTTGAGATGTAGAAAACACAAGAGGACAAAGTGGGATGACCACAATGATGAGTCATTTAACACCACTTCACCCCAGAACACTGTACTTTCAGCTCTTAAGTAACCAAATGCTTTCCGGCTCTTACAACACTTTTAAGAGGACAGAGGTAATGAAAAACTCTATTTTTGTATGTCCATGGGAAGAGTTGCTGACTGGGATCGATTTTCTTACTAGGCACTCGAAAGTACGTAAATACTATTAAAACATTAAATTGCAATTGGGTGCAGCTACAAAGAGGTCACACACCCTTGAGCTAATTAATAGTCTGCCATAACAGAATGATCACTGTTAAAATATTAGTATCTAATAATATTAGTGTACAAAATAGCATTGCTAATTCAGACTGTTTTGAAACATACAAAGTTACAATGAATGAATGAATAAATAAATAAATTAAACAAAATATCGTCATTTACAATAGTAAAAGTAGTTGAAATGTTTTTCTAATATAATTAATTAAATTTGAGTCTAATAAATGCAGGTTTTTAATTCAACTGTTTAAATATAAATAGATTATGTAATATTAATGCAATATTATTGATGTTTGTAGCCATGGCTCCTGATGATCCTGTTCAACTTGATTAACTTGAAAATTGCATTTAGGACATAAATGACTGAATGTCACAAAACTTCTTACAACTTAACCAAGATAAAACTGAAGTTTTGATTATTGGATCAAAAGCACAGAGAAAGAAATTGACCCCTAAACTAAATATGCAAGGATTAAACCCAAGCCAAGTGGCAAAAAAAACTTTTGGAGTTGTCTTTGATTCAGATTTTAACTTTAAAGCTCATGTACGTAATATTACAAAAACTGCATTCTATCATCTGAAGAACATTGCTAAAGTAAGACCATTTCTCTCTGAGCAATACAGAAAAATGAATGCATGCATTTATAACTAGCAGGCTTTTGGGTCTACCAATGAACAAAATTAATCAACTACAATCAATCCAAAATACTGCTGCTAGAATATTGACAAAAGCCAAAAAGAGAGGTCGCATTCAGGGCCGCATTAAGACCGCACTGGGCCCCGGGGCTATGACTTACTGCAGGGCCCCCTATCACAAAAATGATATATATATATATATATATATATATATAGGGTACAAAGGGGCTAAAAGCCCACCTTAAGAAAAAATGTATAATTGCAGAAAAAATATATACGTTGTATTGAACATTAATGGAGCAACATATTTTGTGTGAAAATAAATCATTCAAGTTGTTTATTTTGTTTAAAAATCGTATAAATGTATGAGGTGGCAAGAGGGGTAAAAGCTCACCAGCA